TGAAATTTTGGAAGCTCTGCAGATATTTAGAATAATTATATTACTGTATGAGTCAAAACATTTAAATTTTTAAAAAAATGCTAAAAAGAAAACAATTTAAAACTCTTTTCCTTTTTCTTATTTCAAAAATTCATAATTTAAAAAATAATTGAAATTAAATTATTTTTTTTGCAAGTCAAAACATGTATATCCAAATTTTAAAAAATTATTTTCTTTGAAATAGTAACTTATTTTTTTTAATTTATTTCTCTTCAAAATCATAATAATAAAATACAAAAATAAAATTTTCACCATAGACTATGCAAGCTTTGATCCTAACAATAAGATATGTATGCCTTAGACTCTCATCCTAGGTCAAGTCCGCCTTATAAACAAATAATACTTTTTCTTTCTTATTTATATTTCATTTTCTTTTTTAAATTTATTTTATTTTACCAGGTGAATAATAAAAAGAGTAATTAAAATAATTTTAAAAGGTCATACTAATTACATAATTGACTAAGGTAATCGTTCTACGAAATAGGTGTTCTGGGGTATGTAAAACCTTCTCCACTTACAATCGACTCTTGAACCTATCTCTAATTATAAAGATTATCCTTATCACCTTTAGTTAGTTTTCAAAGATTTTTTCTTAAATATTGGTGGTGACTCATCTCTTGTGAGATTGGGTCTCTCACATAAAGGCTGACCTGCCTCCTCCGTTTCCCTCACAACAAATAGGTGACTGCCGCGCAACATAATTTGTTCTTATTTATAAAAGAACTAGCTTTCTAAACCCTCCATTTTGTGCTTAGCACGTGAGAACTGTGTCTATTAACATTGTAATCTCCTCACTCACTAATATATAATTAACTCAAATTCTCACTTAATTCCATGGTTAACTCAAAGCAATCATCAAGTTTGACAAAATATGCAGAATCAGAGGTATGCATTGTGGCTTATTGAACTCATGCCATGGCTTGTGGGCCTTTATGGCCCATGTACCGTGGCTTGTTGAATATTGCACTGTGACGCATTGCACATCTCATGACAATAAAATTTTGTTGTCAACTTGACAGAAATTAGGGAAACTTTTGGCACTCTTCAATTCTTTGTCTGACGTCCGATTGATGCTATTTAGATGTCTACATAAAGCTTTTTTCAAGCTTTAACTAATGGCTTTGATTTCATACTCAAATTATTTTTCATTCGAGAATTGGACATTCATTTTAAAATTCTCACGTTTAAAATAAAACTTGAGTGTCCAATCTCAATACTGAAAGCCTAAAGCCAAAAACATCACCCAAACCATATACAATTGACAAAAGTACAACACACCACAACATTCACAACACTTACAAATCACATTTTTATTACTTAATTCCTTAATCTCAAAAATAGAAGTGGGAGCCCAAATTTCACATTTCATCAAATAATCCACTGAAATCACATATTATACTCTATTCTTACTTCCACTAGCATTTTAACCCTATTATAGATATCATAATTCTCATACATACATCCTAGAGCCCAAAATATGCTTTATAGTTCACAAAATACATAATACAAGTAAGTTTCAAATGAATTAGTCCTAGTTGGCAATATTAATCATCATATACACATACATACTCAAAAGGTAAAAAAGGCCAATTACTAGGATATCAATCTTATGCCTTCATTGGTTTTTCTTTGTCTAATCCTCTTGAACTATTTCTTATAATATTGAAGATAATGGAGTAAGTATAGCCACACAGTAACTAAAGTCCAACTAACTCATGCAATGCATGTTAATTAGTTTAAATATGAGTAACAAGTTACAATTCAATTTTCAAATCATGTAACATACTTAAGAGCATAAATCCATATTCTCAGGCATAATAGCACACGCTCAAGAATTAATGCTTTGTAACACAACTTTCATATAAGAAAAGAATTAGCCACATGCTTAATTAGCATATTTTCACATGGACATAGAGCCAAATTCACAATTTTCATCATTAAGGTCACAATATAAACAACTAAGTGCCCATTTTCACTATATGCATGATTACACCTCCCTTATACCCTTTTTATTTCTCTGACATGAAACCATGGGCTATATACACATTGGATTCGTCTATATATTGAGACTACCTTAGCCAAAACATTTGTGAGAGGTTACCCAGCTAAAGCTTTCCATCTTCCTTATGGATTACGACTTCCCTCATTTCTCACACTATGGGGTGCCATTCTCCCTAAATCAATTTCCTCAATGAACAAATGGATGACTGGCTGGGTTCAAATCCTTTGTTAAACCAGTGAGATAGTATCTCATTAAACAAATGGGATAAAGTACAAAATGAATCTAGGCTAACCATTGAGCTCAGATGGGAGCCTTACTATGTAGATTTAAATCTCTACTCCTTTCCCTAGGCGAACTCCCGTCTTTCATGATCATGCAATGCATAGATATGTACTATCTCATAACATGCATATTATTCACTACTCAAGCATGGTCAATCATCTCCTTGTACTCTCATTACACATAATTACAACTAAACATTGAACTCCACATTATACATAATTATTGAACTTTCTAGAGCACATAATCATTGAATTTCACTTTCAATTAGTCGTTGAACTTTCTAAAACACATAGTCATTAAACTCCATTTACAGTAAATTATTGAACTCCACAAATTCAAGAATTATTGACTCTTCAATAATACACACATTTATTGAACTTCTTATAGTACACACAGTCATTAAACTTTCCAACACACAATTTCATTGAACATTTTCCTTCTTAATTCATTGAACTCCTTGTGACAACAATCAATAAAAATCCACTTACAACTCTCATCTTTGAATGTCAAGTAAAGATACTTCATTAAACTTTACTAGGTTATTAAAATAGATTTTCAAGTAAGACATGCCACACTTGCATTTCATTCATTTTCATACAATTTAATTATCAAACATTAATCAATAAACTAATTAACACACAAAAGTATAAGATAGAATTTTCTTGGTTACCTCAGACCTTTGAGAAATTAAAAGTTTCACCCCTTAAATACACACTTTCAAAGTTTCCACGAAGCTTGAATGGTGTCGATATGATTACTCTACAAACATTTACAATATAGTTCATCAATATCCTTTTTTTTTTATAGTTTTCACTATTAATTAAAATACTTTTTCACTCTTAAGATTCATTCTCTATTGATATAAAATACCTATAGGGTTTTTTAGTTTCCTTTAACTCACAATGTGTCACGACGTATGGTATAGAGAAGTCTTTCCCTAGGCACATCAACTTATATGCACAGCGACGGCTCATCCATACAACGCGGTGTGTGGCACAGAGCCTTATTCTTCATATTTCTTTCCTCTTTTCACATCCGGGTGACTCGACTCTCCTTTGGACCCGTATTTAGGGTTGAAATTACAATCAAACATGCCCTTTAGACCTCTCTAGCCACACACTTCACTAATAACACAATTACTTTAGTCAAGCTTAATCAATTAAGTTTAAAATTTAAGGATGTTACAAACATGATCTATCACATAATGTTCAAACATGACTTTTTATGATTGACTAATTTATAAGCAATCAATTCTTTCTTCTTGTAGCACTGAAGCTAAAGCAAAGAGAAGAACTAGGTGGCCCCATGGCCTCAACATAATGTTCAAACTTGATGGTCTTTCCCATGAACTGTACTCATTTTTATATGCCCATAGCAAGATTATTAAGGAATGACATGGTTGTGTTTATATTGTGAAATATATGTGAGTTTATTCAAGGAAAAAAAAATCTCCAAGACCATATCAATAAAAGGAAAGGTATTTGCAATGGCAAGCTACATGTGGTATTTAAGACAAATTAAATTGATGTGTTCAAGATAAATAAATTGCTAGCTTAACACATTATCCCTATGGAACCAGTAAGGAGGTATCAAGATTGCAGGGACATGATCATGAAATATTGCTTTGGCATAATATTTGAATTCTTATTTTTTTTACAACAACCATTTTGAAAGAAGCATAGTCATGCAAATGCGGAATCAGATACACTTGCTAACTTCTTTCACACTACTTGGAGGAAAATTCTTCACTTTGAAGCATCTTTAGGAGTACATAAAGGTTTATCAGCTATAGATAAGCATTATTATAATTATTGCTCAACTTTGTATATTCTCTAATTGATGTAGATATGTGAGCTAATAAGGTTCATTGCAATTTATGTAGGTTTTAAAGATAGGTTATGGAGTCTTAGTAGGAATTTAGGGATCTAAGAGAGTTATAATTAAGAAGAGATAAATTATAGATTCAAGTTAGCATAGTGCATATTTATGATATATATATATATATATATATATAATGCATATGGTAATTTGTTGTTGATTGATTGAAACATGCAAGTACACAAAAAAATGATGAGAGCCTTAAGGATTGGGTAGAGAATTGGGGAAACAAGACAGGACATATAGTTTTTGCTAACATGACTTTATATTTATTTTGTCTGTTTGAGAATCATAATAAAATAATATTAAAATAATGTATTGATATAAGAATTTTTGTGATCCAATTCAGATAAGAGATACTCAAATTGATTGAATACTTTATAATTCATTTAATTTATTATAGTAAATTGATCTTTTATCTACATTATAAATTAAATTAAGCTTCCTCTTAATATATAAGAGATTAGCATTATTAAACTAAACATATGATACGGGGAGAAATCTAGTTAAAACTTAAAATTAGAACCCTCGTGTGATGAATCCTCTTGTTTGGGCTCTACCCTTGTCGTTCAATTAAAAAAATTCAGGATAAAAAATCGTATATTTACTTAAAAATATTAGAACATAAATTAATAATTAATATTTCAGTAAAAAATACATTAATCAAAGGAGAAAAAAATGACACCTTGGCAGCAAAGCAAACACGACTCACTCGAGACGGCGTGAGGACAGGTGGTACTTTTTCTTTTTCTTTTTCTTTTTTTGGGGTCAAAATGAATAGATGATTCTCGATAGTCGATACCATAATTTTGTAACGTTGCACGCGTATCCGGAACGAAACGTCGTACGGCTCTCAATTTCCACGTCCGTCGTTGCTCGAATCCACCGGCTTGGTGCACGACCAACAAGGGACCCATTCAACTATCCAACTGTGGGTTGATTTGTAAGGTGAGATCCGAACCTTTCCGGAAGTCTGCAATACAGTCAACCCCTACAATGCCACATCTGAAGTCTGATCCTGTAAATTCGTGACTGTCAGAGCTCAGAGCTGTCAGCTTAAGTGGGAGTTCCTTGCCAAGAGCCAGAATTATGAGACCGCATATAGTTACTGAGGTTAATATGGGATCCTAACACCTTAATCTTTAGTACTTGTATGCCTGGATCGTGCGTTCGTCTTATGATATTTTTCTACTCCAATGAATTAGTAGGGGAAAACCCTAACTGCCTGCTTGTTTCCTGTGAAAATGTGCGAAGGAGGAAAGAAATTGTGGATCCGGATCCGAAGCTTTCTTAATTGTTAATTAACTACTAATTTTTGTTCGGGATTCACAAGTTGAACTGAATGCTGTTGTTTGATGGATAGACATCGATTGAATTCCTTCCCCTTTCATTTATTGTCTGATTAATTCTCCGTAATGGCATTCTTTACACAGGCAAGTGTGCCTACTAGGTTGAGTCATTGGTGGCAAAGCATCCCATTTCTCACTTCGACAGTGGTGGTTGTTTGTGGAATAATTTACTTCGTTTGTCTCTTGGTTGGATATGATTCCTTCAGTGAGATATGCTTCTCGCCGTCTGCTGTTGTATCACAGTTCCAAGGTATGTCTTCTTGAACCAATATCCTTCCGGTTTGTCAGAATAATGTAACAAGGTCGTGTTTGAACTGATCAGACTACGTATATGAAATAGAACACCGTTTAGTGGCATTTCTTAATCCATGCTAATGCATTCCGTTGTTCTTCTTTCATGATAGGGAAATTCATTTTTGCCTGCAAAACATTAACATTCAAGATCTGAGTTTCCCATTACTTTGCAACTTTCCTATTATTGACATATTTTTTGGTTGCACTTAATGAATAACTTTTTGACTATTTATTATTATTTCTTTTCATGTTGATAGAATTATATGGGAAAGCATTTTAGATAAATGATCTAAGTCCCTTAGTTGCTATTTTGTACTTGGGGGTGTGGAGCAGATGTTTATCGGATTTTCTTCTATTTTCCATTGTAATTGGCTATTTGCATTCAATTATGTTTTCTCTTGCAGTTTACAGGATTTACACCTCCGTTCTTTTTCATGGTTCACTTCTTCATGTTCTCTTCAACATGATGGCTTTAGTTCCATTGGGCTCTGAAATGGAGAGGATCATGGGTTCAGTTCGCTTGCTATATGTGATTGTGTTGTTAGCAACTAGCAATGCTATATTTCATGTTCTCATAGCACTCCTGGCGGCACACAATCCTTTTAATTCATATGATTACTTCATGAATGAGTGTGCAATAGGCTTCTCAGGAATTCTATTTTCAATGATTGTAATAGAGACAAGCTTGAGTGGTGTTCAATCTAGAAGGTCCGTTTGTGTTCGACTCTATGTTTCTAAAGTTTTAGCTATATAATGCCGTTCCTCTATGATTTTGAAAAGAGACTTTAGAATGTTGATAATCTGCTATCTATCTATCTATCTATCCCAAACATTTGAGATGGTGGTTGTTGATATTTTTTAAGATTGTTGTAAGACAACACTCTAGATTAATTAAAGTTTTTAAATTGTATTCATATTGGTTCCCAGAAACTTTGTGAATCGGTTGACAATTGATCGTGCAAGGACTTTCTTGACTTGTTTAATAATAGACAGGATTTTGTCTTCTAGTTGTTTTATGCTATGTACAGTGAATTTGTATGGCTTCACTTACCTAATAACTTTTACTATTTATTCTGCAGTGTCTTTGGACTCTTTAATGTTCCTGCAAAGTGGTGAGTGTGAGTTACATGATTTTGCCCCCATCCTGGTCTTCTCTTTTAAATGATCGCTGAACTTATCATGTTTTAGGTATGCATTCATTTTGTTGGTAGTGTTCCAGCTTCTCATGTCAAATGTCTCTCTACTTGGACACCTATGTGGCATTTTATCTGGGTTTGCTTGTCAGTTTTTTCTCTTTTTCCTTATATTTCACTTCTTTCTTGCCATTGATATGAGTAATTCATTCATCTGTGGTCATGTATTGCTATTCTTATTTTCAGATACATACGGTTTGTTTAATTTCGTCTTACCCGGGATATCATTTTATTCTGCCATTGAAACCTCCTCTTTGCTTGTAAGTATCTTTTATCAACTGGCTTTGGTAGTTATATGACATTTAGAAACATGTAGGTACCTGATAGAGTACCGAGCAAGGGGTAATGACTAAGGTGGGGCAAATGATGTGTTGAGTGGTTGAAGTTGACAATCATGTAGCATATTTGGATGGTGGAATGGAGTTGGTTATGGTAGAGTAGGAGTAGGGCATGAATTATATTCTCCATTGAACCTGGAGATTCTCCCTTTTGTTGGATTATCAGAGTATTATGTGTATAAAGTTCTTGTACCAATTTCTCTAATAATTTCTGGCTTTATTAGTCTTATGAGTCAAGATTTTTTCTCATATTATCTAGTGAAGATTATTCTCCTTATTTTCTCTCTACCTATCTTGGAACTTATCAGTGCCCTTAAAACCATTGTTAATAGAAAATAAGCAATGCTGGCTGGTTCAGTCTTTCAATTTACTTTTGCCTGGTCCTTCTGCATGTACACCTTTAAAATTTTAGATTTGGAGAATTCAAATAATAAAAAAGGACCAAAACTGAAATGAATAAAAAAATTTAAAGGATTCTACAGTAAAGCTAGGAGTTTCTCAGTCAAGGGACCAAATTGGAGAAAAGTATTATTTTTAATGAGCTCTATAAATAGTCCTTTGATGTCTGTTCTTTTTGCCTATTGAATTGAATTTAGATTATTTCACGCTCTCCCTCCATTCTTATCTTATTCTCCCTCTGTCTTTCTCCCCCTCCCTTTAACAATTTATGATCAACTGGAATATTATGTATTATATCTTAGTGACTTCTTTTAATTTGTGGGACAAAATTATGACCAACTATTGCACCCACATTACATTATGTAAACAATCATTGTGTGTGGACCTTGGCTTAAACCGTCATATTTGTGTCTTTGTGACTTTCAGACATCATGTGTGAGACGGCCCAAATTCATTGTTTGCACTGGTGGAAACTCTTCAGGTTACGTTCCTACGCATTCAAGTGAAAATTCAACATCTAGGTACTATCTAGTTTTTACACCAAACCTTGCCAGCAACTGTGGATGTTCATTGATATAGTTTTTCTTGTAGTAGTGGATTTCTTTCTGGAAATTTATGGGGAAACCTGTCATCTTTGATGCCACAAAGGCAAGTTTCCTCTCAGGTATGTCAGTCATCTCATATCTTTAGACGACCCTTTGGTACACTCTCAAAATTTTGTTTGTTTGCAAGTGTAATCACAGCTTTTTCTTCTGCTCAATAGTTTAAAAAATGAAAGCACATTCTGTGTGTGTAAGACTGTAAGTTGGTCCTCTGCATAGACCTTTTGATGCAATCATTTTGTGTTTTAAATTGTGATAATTTTTTTATTTGTTAGCTCATGTTACTCGAGTTGGTCCCCTCTGCTTGTCATGTGAACAATGTGTAATGGACGGTTTATTTATTCATGTGCATGTTGCCCTTTCATTATGGGGATTCCTTATTCACAGGCCTTTTGTTGCATTTGATATTTTGCTTTACATTTTGTTCTCTTTTTCCATTCATTTAGTTACTTAGCTGTTTCCTCTTCTGATATATTTAGTTATTCAGTATACTGCCTCTTCATATTTATGGAGCTGGCAAGTTTTTAAATTATTTGATGTGGGAAGAATGCAATAATTGGAATAATCTTTTGTTGAAAACTGAAAAACTTACTAGTTTTAAATCTGATTGATATGTGTTAGGTTCAATGTTTAACATAATTAGTTCACGCATAGGTAAAAGGAATTTGTTATTTTTCTGCGTTTTTCTGATCTTCCATAATATTTCAGTGTTGTAGAATGTGTAATGTTACATGTATATCATGGTTCTTCTGTGTGTTCACTTGAATAATATACTGCTCCTTTGTCCATTTTAAGCTTCTTATCTGCTTTGAGCGTTCAGAAACTTGGGTTTATGTGCTATTGAAGTGAAGAATTGAAAGATCAAATTTTACCTTTCTTTCATACAAGTCGTTGTTCAATTGCTCAAGTTTCTATCATGCATAATCTTTGAAGTCTTCTAGATATCTGATTAGACCATATGATTTTAGCAACCAGTACAAGACGACAGGTTCCCTGGGAGGGGAAGGACCCTGGGTTCTGGTCAAGGTCAACAAGCTTCTGCTGTTAGTTCAGAGTCAAATCTGCAAGCTAGACTCTTGGACAATAACAATTCGGGCCATCCTTTAGACTCATCAACTCATGGTACTGCTCAACGAATATCAGATGGAAGGTATGCGAAAAATAGTTTTGTGCGTGTTTGATAACTCGCACTGTTTGCTTATGGCAAACTTCTGTACATGAATCGCATTTTCTTTTTCTCTTAATGTGGATGAAGCACTTTTTGGAAGCTAAATCCTGTTGGTCTGTTTCATAGATTATAATAACCTGACAAGTCTACCATAGGCGCGGCATTATTCTTATGAGTATTCAGAGCTACATTTCAAGTTAAGAATGATGACCATGTTTATATTTTCATTTACCATTTAGGCAGGCAGGTTCGAATAATGTTGCAACAGCATTTGTAGGTGTACCGCAGCATCAGGTTTCTGGATCTGAAAATGTTGCGATTTTCTTGTTTTCTTCTGGTTTGTCTGAATTTGTAATGTTTCGTCATTTTTCATTGCTTTAAATGCAGGGTGCAGTGGCTTCTGATGAAGAGATAAAAAAACTTGTATCAATGGGCTTTGATAGGGTAATACTAAGGGTGGCTCTTTTTCCTGAGCATGAAGAAACGTGCTTGAAATATTTTATACCTTACTAATCTGATTCTCCGGCTGATGACACCTGCACTATTGATACAAGTGATTAACCTTTGGATCAATTGATTTCTTAGAAAAGCGATTAACCTTTGGATCTAAACGTTGTTGCTTTTTTCATGAGGTTGGGGACCGATGTGGGGTATTATCTGGTATCTAAGATCTTAATAAATTAGCCGCCAGTTTTCACGAGAAGAGATAGTATCCAACGTGCATGCATCAGATTTGGGCATATGGCTTGCAGCTCCGTTGTGACTTTTATGCATTTGTCTTTGGTTGCTTTCAGACCCAGGTGGAAGTAGCAATGGCAGCTGCGGATGGGGATCTGAACGTCGCAGTGGAAATACTTATGAGCCAGCAGGTTGAGTTTGCTAATTTGTGGTATCTGGGATTCTCCATGCTTGCTTCTTCCTTCCTTTCTTTTTACCCTTCCCTAAATTCTTTTGCTTGGGTTATTGCATTTACAGGGTTAACACTTGCATGCGAGCTTGTGCTGGATTCCTGAAGACTTGTTTGAGAGCTCTGTTCACGCACTGCCTTCGTGTGCTCTAATCATGCCATTCTGTGGTCTTGGACCACTACAGTTTGCTGACTGCCATTCCATTCTGACATCAATTAGCATAGTTGAATTTCTGTAACAGCATAGCATGTATTAATACCCACAACACTAAACAAAGGTGGAAAATGTCTGAAAGAATGTGCAAGTGAAAGGTTACAGCCAAATTCATGTCAGTCTGTCGTAGCTCTTGACTTCCACCCGTCACTCACACGCTCTATCTAATGGGAGTCACAGATGGGTGCGATGATCTTTTGAGAACTTTCATTCAGTTCAGGTCCTTATTTGCAACTTGTAGACCGTTGGTGCAAGTGAAAAAACTGCAGATCGAGATAGTTTCTTGTGATACCAGATAGGGCGCCAGAAAGAGGCTCAAAGTTGAGTTGAATCGTTCACATTGCAACTAATTTATCAGATACATACGGGGACTCGGACGGGCCCATTAGATTTTATTTTATGGCTCAAAATCTGGGCCTCATCTGGTTGAGCCCATGATTAGCACGTATAATTGAATTTAGGTTGGGATGTGCAATTGGGTTAGGTTTCACCCCTAGCCTGGTGCTTAGCCTGAAGCACACATGGGGTTAGCAGGGTGCTCTTCGGTTGGGCTGGGTTTGGCCAATCTGGAAGGGATTTTAAAAATATATTAAAATATGAAAAACAATTGTATCTGTCAACCGAAAAAAAACTAATTACCATCATTGCATCCCTTTCAGAGTAATATTGGGATCCGTAGTTTTTACATAAAATTAAGTCAAAAAATCAATTTGAAACTTTAAGTGAAATTAAAAAATTGAAATCATGATAAACGTAGAATAATCTATTACATGAGAGTTAAGAAAAATATGATAAAACTATTAGTACTGACGAATACCATTTTTTTAAGAAAGTGCCATAAATAGGGGTGGGTTTGACCCCAATCTAATTCATGTATGAAAGGGTTGCCAAACATAAAAAGAAGAATGAGTTTGCCGGGCTATCGGGTCCAGCTACATTGCCCTATATGGATTGGTTGGGTTCTCACTTCTCATGAAAATCGCTAGCTACAAAAATAGCAATAGTGGCTTTAACAAAAGATCATACCTGGGAAATGGATCGGGGTCTCTTTGAATATCTGCCTTGACGCCAAGCTGAACATTAATTACAGTTAGACAAGGAAAAGCATCACCCTCCATCCGACGGCCATCTCATGTTGAAGAGAGGTTCGTTCTGTCACGGAGAGATTTGCTTTCTCAGAGGTTCGCATGGAGGAACATTGGAATGAGACACAAGGATAATGGCAAAGCATTTTTTTCCCCTTTTGCACAAAATATGTTCACGAAACTAACCAGACATTTATTACACTGATAATTTTGAGTTGTTGAACTTAAACTGAAGATATTGAAAAAATAATAATAATCCACTCACTGGAATGTACAGCAGGAATAAAAAAATACAGGATGGTATGGGCATCATATATCCAACTCTCAGATTGAAAGAGAAGAAAAATACATTGGGGACGTGAAAAAAATTGAAAAAGAATTGTATTGCACATTCGGATATGCTAATATATTAAAACCCAAGGGAACTTGTTCCATTTGGTGCACAATATAGGCTTCTCCATTTTATCTTATTCTACAGCACTCTGTAGGATAGCACGCCATCAATCGTTTCGACAATCAAACGGTTCATGCGGACTAAAAGCAACAAATATGATCTTGCTTTGTGCCCTGAAAACCCCAAAACATGAATAAGTTATCCTTTTCTTTTAAGATACTATCAATCAAAATATTTTTTGATCAACGCTATCAATCAAAGTATAACTAGCTTAAACTTATTTCGATTCAAGTAAAAAGGTTGCTCTGTCTAGCGCAAGCTAGCGTTTCTTCGGCTTGGAGGGAGGCCGATGAGTTTAGCATACTAGTTCTCAGATGCTTAGACCAAAACAGTTCCTATTTTCAGATGAAATGGACTTCTTAAGATGGAAAAAATGAAGTCCTTAAAATGGGAATAGAAGACAAGCTGCAAATTAAATTTCATCCAATCCCAAAATGCATTGAAGTGTCATTATGCAATAACTTAGACGTGAGTTTCGTGCCTTATCCAAACTCAAACCCAGATCCTGAAACGAGTTATATTGTTCATGATTTATAAATAATGTGGTTTTGTATGATTTTATACTATACTTAGATATATAGATTAAATCAGAGAAATTATATGAAAGAACAATTTTAGCAGAATATGACTACCTAAATTAAATGAAGGAATTTCATCTTGACGAAAGAAGTTGCATCCTTTGGCCTTCTTGTTTAGGCTTGAATTGATCTTATCAACAGCCGCCAGTAGATCCTAAAAGATCAAATTGCACAACGAACAAACAGAATATTATCATATCAAGTAGGACAACAAATTCCAATCGCGTAAAATTGTGAAGTCAATTGCCCCCGAGTTTAATGTGCTATGTTAGACAATGCATAAGCTTAGCATACTACATAGACAATTTTCCGGAAGTTAAATGTGAAACCGGAGCGTTTCCAATAGAGCTAATGAATATCGTTAAAACCCTTCCCAAAGGCAGTAAAGCCATAGAACCAGGTCCTCGGACCACATGTAGGATAATTAAGTTGTGGTTTTGCATGACTAACACTGTTAAGTTCAGCCTACTTATAAACATTTACGTAGTATATTTTTAGACTTACTGATATTAACGAGATTGGGTGTCTAGTTAATATAAATAAAATCATCAATTGACACCCGCCGTGGATGTAGTTTTGAAGGACTAGCATCCCTTGAAAACATGACCTTAAATATAGTGAAAATCACGAGGGTCCACATACCTCCCAAGATGCTAGACCCTTCATATAGCCAGGTAGACTTTCAAATTCGCTCTTCATTATCTTTAACTCAGGACAGGGAGCTTCAGCTGACTCCATATTCTCCATCTCAGCCTCTAAATTTTATTTTGAAAATAAATAAAAAAATCTTCACAGACTATAGGTGATAAACTCAGCAGAAAGATAGTTCCAATTACCAAAGGACAAGCAGTTCCTTCCTTCAGATGACAAACTCTTAAGCCCTTGTCCTTCGGTCACGCTGAACCTAGGAAATGAAAATCATGTAGAGATGTTAATGAAAATGCGAGAAATCCTACATATGGCGAAAGACGTCCACACCATGTAACCAGTAACTTACATCTCTGGCTCTTTTGAAGACTCATTTGCTGCATGAGAGGAAGAGAGAAGGGGAAGGAAGCGGTGAAAATAGAACCAGTATCAGTGACATGCAAGTAATTTGAGAAGTCAAGGACAGTTACACTAGGTTTGCCATAATTGCAAAACATACAGCCAAAAATATCACAAAAAGGAACAATTTAACAAAGAAAGAAAAGGCATGTTCCAATGAATATATAAGCGTAAAATCTTTATAGCCTATGGAGCAGGTGGTATTTACTTGGCACTAACCTTCACTTGCTAAGGTGGCTAGACATGCATCTGACAGCCCAAGCTTTTTTAAACTCAAAGATTCATCAAGTCTGAAGAGAATTAAGGAACACAAACGAGCATCATAGTACACCGATAATTGACCAAAACTAATGGGAGCATCGCTTTTTCTGTAATATTTTCAGGACTTCGACACAGAACTTCTAAATGAAATTATACATACATAAATAGATGGACGAAAAGTTGAAAAATGAATCATATATGAACAATAAAAATGCCTGTAACTTTAATTGTTAACATTCAGGACTGGTAACCAAATCAATAATAGCATTTCATCCACGAAAGAAACCTAGTCCCCCCTTCCCACGTCACCTTTGCTTAGAAGCACAAAAGCATATTATCATAATTCTTTCGAAATCTCCATAGATGTCAATATAAATTATAACGGAGCCGTACTGTTTGTTAGTAGAGTTCATTTTGGAATCCATACTCATGTACGGTCTTACTCATTTAATTGACGTTTCTTCCAGATCCTGTGGTTAAAAAATTATAGATTTTATGCAATAAAAAAAAAATTTGGGGGGGGGGGGGGCCGCGACAACAGTGACAAAATGATCGTAAGGATGCAAAGCATCTTCTCCCAAACTCTTGAATCTAGCATCCTCCACAGAGAGAGTTCCAGAGATTGAACACAAGTTATGCAGTCCATCTTCTGAATCTGAAAGCCCATTTGATCTCGTTATATCATGAATTTCATCTTCATCGCCAATACCAGGAACTGAAGGCCCGGCACACCCCAAAAAAAAAAAAAAAATTTGAGGTGATCAAAATTTGTTGTAAAAGCTTGTGTCAAATCACAAAAGAGCACATAAATAACAAGGGAAATATCGAGCTGTCTCAAATGAGAGCTAGAAAAGGTAGGTCTTAGTACTGGGAATATAACCGTAGCCTCTGAGTCTTTCTTCGAGTTCAAATAGATCGGATTGATTCTTTTTGTAAAGTTCATTGCAATGGCCTAAGAGCTCCTCGAAAGATACGGTGCCAAAAGACATGGAATCAAGCAGCTCCAGGTCGCTGCTTGCGCTCGAGATGCGGCTATTAAGGCATTGTACGAATGTCGATGATGCAGAATCTGTCACATATAAGATTAAAACAGATAAGGGGAAAAATATTACGGCAAATAACTACTTTCAACTTTCCGGAACAACTAAACATGGTAAAGCCAGTGAGAGATACCAAGGGGTATGGGTCGGCGATCGAGGGACTCCTTGAGGGCATCACAACTGGATTGTAGGTGGTTGCAAAAGGAAGCTAAGGTGCTGCAGAAACCGGAAATTGCATCCTTCGACATTGTCCTCTTCCTCTGTGAATCAGACCGATCTCAAAGTGAAGCCAATTCTGCAGTATTCACCTTTCGAATTTTGGAATTGGAGAATTAGGCGGGACTTCAATATTCTTGATTTAACAAATAAAATTTATGGTTGATAGCCAACGGCGCCTGTAGCTCAGTGGATAGAGCGTCTGTTTCCTAAGCAGAAAGTCGTAGGTTCGACCCCTACCTGGCGCGTGACCCCATTTTATGAACTTATTTTAATAAAACTTTTTTTCCAACGATTTTGCTTTGTATTTTTTGTTTTGGTATTCCTTTTCTTTCAACGATTTTGAATAAAACTGAATCATTGTCAATCAACGAGGAAAAAAAAAAGAATAAAATTGCTTCATACATTAAAAAAATTGATAAAAAGGACTTAATTAAAAGCAAAATTGGTCATAAGGACCAACTACATTTGAAGGGCTAAGGTTAATATTTTTTTGTTAAATAATTTGAACAAATGATTCAAATGCCCTTTATGTTAATTAATTTTTTTTAAAAAAAGATACAAAATCTAGTCGTCGAAGCTTCGACCCCTCCTCTGACAGGCGACAATGTGCTTATTGGATCTCTAGTCGAGCGGTGAAGGGTCATCGAAAAGTGTCACCGAAAAAATATACACCCCTAAATTACATTTAATCATCAAGGATTATATGTAAACTCAATAACTAGAGGATATAAAAATTTTAACTTAAGTGCAAAGGTTTTGACTTAGATGCATGTGTTATGACTATAGATGCATGTGTTATAGTTTAGGATGCAAAGTTTTTGACATAAGGTGTAAAGATTATGGCTTATGTTATAGCAACAGAATTTACATGTAATCCGCAATGGAGACATCAGTGCGATGGATTCAAGGGTTATCAGTGGTGGAAGCAAATGATAAGAAGTGAGTGTGCGTGTAAGTATTAAGGAAAGGCTTGAGAGTTTGAGAGGCTTAGAACTTAGAAATTTCATAAGAGCATGGTCGAAGGTGCTATTTTGCAAAGACTTTAGGGGAGATTAAGTGAAACGGCAATGAAGGCAAGTTTAAGAGTGATTGACAATGATGGAAGTGAAATGAAAAGGGAGGAAGGCGATGGTTTGGAGAAGCGAGGTCGTCAGAAATCATCTTTGATTTACTGAATCATTTTCTCCCAATAACAAAGGGCATTTTGATCCATTCTCATCATCCTTTTTTGAATAAAATAATGAGTTTGGTTTTTCAAGAACATTTGGTACTTGACACTAATTTACTTTTTAATCTAGTCTTTTTCACCAATTTTTCCTCTATTAAACTCAAAAATTTACATTGATTACAAAATAGCTACTTACATCCTTCATTATTCACTACTTATTAGGTGACTATTCAAGCCCAGTAGCCCACTCTATTTAATTCTACTATGTTGTTTGGGCTTATCTAACTAAATAGAGGTTAAACTCTGCATTGCTCAACTCAATATGAACATATTTTTTTTAGTTTTTTTGTGAATAATATTTATTTAATAAAATTATTTTGGGCTAAATGTTAGGTTGAACTATATTATTTTTATGATTTTTGTAACATTTCTTAGCATTACAATTTTTTTAATTTCTTTCAAGATTTAAAATTTTTTTAACTTAATATTATGTGAAAATTATTAACAATAATTGATCATATGTAATTTAAAAAAAGAACTTTTTGATTATAATATTTGTTTTATAAAGAATATATTTTAAATAATAATAATAATAATAATAATATTTTCTCGAAGAAAAATTTTTATATATTTTAAAAAAATATTTATGAAAAATTTTTGGGCCACCGGCTTGAACACCTAGGCATTGAGCTAGCCCAAACTTCACATCAGGCAAGGGTAACACCTAACCCATTTGCAACCATACCACATATTCCATCTATTTTTATTTGTAAGAGAAACTGTCATTTTTTTCTTTTTTTTATATAAAAAAATCATATATTTCAATAAGTATTTATTTTACATTTCTTAAATCGTCCCTCATAATTTACATTAATAAGAAATAATTAATGTATACTTATATTGATTAACGTAGGGCATTTTAGTTCAATTTTTTTATTTTTATACATAATTATTATAATTAACTAACTTTCTTAAACTGTGTTATACTCCCTCTGTTATTATATAAGAGGAAAAAACTATATCACACAGTTTAAGAAAGTTAGTTAAACATAACAATTATGTCTGAAAATAAAAAAATTAGACTAAAATGCCCTATGTTCATCAACATAAGTATGCATTAATTATTTCTTATTAATATAAATTACGAGGGACGATTTAAAAAATGTGTAATAAATATTTATTGAAATATGTAATGTTACTTATATAAAAAATTAAGTAAAAAGTGGTAATTTCTTTTATAAATAAAAATGGAGTAGTATAATTTTTTTTTCTCTTATATATAAAAACTAAGGTATTGAAAATCGAACCAGTCATTGAATCGGCCAAGGTCAGGGGTTAAGCCGGGAGTCAGCCTAGATCAAATTGGACATAATAAAATAATATAATTTAAATAAAAATAAATTCTTTAAGACTTAATATCTTATACAATACCACGTACAAGTCTAACACAATCATCAAAACATCATTAAAAACACAAGAGTTAAAATATTCATCCTTACAATCCTTTAATCATCAAAAAGTCTAAAGCTAATAATAATCAACCCCAAAATCTTCATTAATTTTATTCAAGTCTCTAGGAGTAGGAATTGAAATATTAGGAGATGATTGATAGAAACCAGAACTACTTCCAATATCATTATTCAAATATGGATGCTCTGAAATATTCATATCTTCTTCACCTATTTATGACAAAAATTAACATTAATCATTATGTAAAAAATAATTATGCACTATGCAATATAGATATGTTAGAAAGTGTGAAATTTCATTATTTCTTTCAAAAGTTGATAAAGCTACAACATTTTCATCATGCATAACACTTTTTAAATTAGTGACATCATCAGTATCAAACTCTAGATCTGGCTCTTATTCCTTTTCAGCAATCTAAAAATCCAATTTATCAATAGATTCATAATCAATTGGATCAAAACTTATCTTTTTTCTTCAATTGGCTTCTCATCTAAATCAATAATTCTCAACAACTTTATCAGAGGAGACACAATCTTCACAACTTCAAGACATTCATTCCAAAACCAATTATCTAATATGATAGCATTAACAATTATTTCGGCTTCGGTCCTTGATAATTTACGATCCTCAAAATGTTTATCAATGATTAAAGCTTGTAAGTCATGCTTATGCATAAATATACTATGCAATGTGATAAATGTTGTAGCAAACCTTGTCGCACCGGGACACACAATTTCTTTCTAACTGTTTCTTTTCTTGAGCCATGACAAAAGATCATATGATTGTAAGCAAACATAGTGATCTTTGATGCCTTTGTTGCAAGTTGTGACACATAAGACATGCTTGTAGTGTCTTTTAAAGTGAGATTCAAGCAATGAGCAGCACAAGGTGACCAATAAATACTTTTATATTTCTCTTTAATCAACTTGCCACATGTTACATAATTAGCAGCATTATCAATCACCACGTGCACAATATTTTTAAGACTAACCCATTCAGTCACTTCAAAAAACAATGAGAATAAAGTCTTGGCATCTTTCACTGAATCAAAAGCATCAACAGATTTCACAAATACAATGCCATGTGTAGAATAAACAGGAAAACTTATCAAAGTTCGTTACCTCACATCTGTCCAACCATCAGCCATGAGTGTACATCCATTGGTTTTCCATTTAGATCGATGACTCTCAATAAGAAGCTGACATTCTTTTGTCCAATCATTCAACAAGTTAACTCTAAATTCATAAGCATTAGGACCCATAAACCACATCCCAATTAAAGCAATAGCATCCACAGCTTTTTAAAAGAAAGGGCAGTCTAATGCATTAAATGAAATGTAATTGATGATAGCCCATTCAGCAACGGCTATCTTTGTATTTTGTTGTGCTTCTTTAGTCGCAAATGCACTCTTGATGCTTAGCTAGAACCGAGAGTTCTCTTAGGGGCAAGATAACTTTCAACTAGAATAGTAGGAGGTTTTTTTTACTGGAACTACTCTTAAGAATTGACTTAAATGGAGTAGGAGCAATTGGTTCCATAGCATTTGATACATGTTCCCCTATATCTGCTTGTACATCGACAAGTTTTCTTTTCTTCCCACTTTTCAAAGATTCTTGCATTTGATGACGAACATCATAAGGAACTTTGCTGCAAGAAACTACATTTCTAAAAATACCAACAAGATAGTGCTTCAATCTATTTATTCCACCTCCTTTATAACTTAATGCACAATAAAGACATGTATACACATTTTTGTTGTCCTCTTTTCTCAAAGCAACATGTGCCGATGCAAGATCTTTTTTCCCACGAACTGATGGGGCCCCAGATGTTGAGTCATTATGACTAATTGGGGGATTATTGGAATTAATGGTAGGATTCTCAGTTCCATCACTACTAGGATTACTTTTAACATTCATGATATACCTTTAATCTGCACGCTACAGTAATTTCAACACAAATAAACATTTCAGTTTGATGTAGAATTATAGGGGAAATATGTTCAAATAATCAAACTTAGTTCCAACACAATTCCAACAACAACAATTAAAATAAGATAAATTACTATAGTAGTGTAAATGCATGCCTTCCTATTTATACACATCAAGCAACTTAAACATTAAGATTATCATAAGCAAAGCAAATAAACTGAATGAACATGTCTTTGGAATCAAAATTCGAACATACTAGGATGGTGATATAGAACAAGTAACCAAATCAATGACCAGACTAAATCAATGCGTTCTAAGTCTAGCTATAAGAATTATCAGACACAGAGCAACACCAACATGCCAACACCAAAACCAAGTAGGGAGGGAGAGAGAGAAGAAGAAGATACACCTGAAGCTGGGAGGCACCGAGGGAGAGAGAGCAGAAATGGGCACGAGAAACAGTTGAGAAAATACACTTAAGGAGAAGAAGATTATTCCTGAAGCTCAATGATGGAGGTTGAAGATGAAAGCTTGAGAATGAAAGGTGGAAGACAGAGGATGAGAGATTGAGAGCACAAACTAGAGATGCGATTTGTGAGAGGCAGAGATGGAGAGCAGCATAAACCAGAGAGTACAAATCTGTGAGAGGCAGAGATGGAGAGTAGCAAAAACCAGGGAGTTTAAATATGTGAGAGGCAAAGACGGAGATAGAGACCATAAATCACTAAACCAAAGAGTGCGAGTATGTGAGAGGCAAAGACGGAAACTATAGATGACAGACCAGAGATGCAAGTCTATAATAGGTAGAGATGAGAGACCAGAGAGGTGAGTCTATGAAGAGTGGAGACTGGAGAGATTCGAGAGTGGAGATCGAATTCCAAGCTGAGAGATTGAGAGTGAGGGTGCAAGAGTGAGACTTAATTTCAGCCTTAGGACATATGTGTTTCATGTTTCAGCATTTTGTATTTAAGACCAATTCAGGCATTAGCTAAGCTAGTGAGCTTCGCTCTTTTTTTTTTTATTATTTTGACCCCCCAAAACGATGTTGTTTTAGGGGTTAAAAATTTAAAAATATATCAACCCGCCCAACCCTCTTGACTCGTGGGGTTGGGCAAGTTGATCCAGGTTAACACCGAGTCGCACAGGTTAACCCGGGCTAGACATCTCCAACTCAATCAGTAAGATCGGATTGAAAAGGCATTCGGGTCACTAGTCAAACTAGTCGGTCTGGTTTGATTTTTAATACCATGATAAAAACTAAGGGTGTATATAATACCAAAAGAATAATTTATAAATTTCTTTCAATTTGATTTGATTCTTCACAAATAAAATTATTACTTGGAATAATTTTTACATTTATCAATTTCAAGGATATCATCATCATAAATAAATAAAATTTACATTTCTTTCTTTTTATAAAGAATCGAGAAGCTTAAACTATACTCCTGTCCACTAGGATTAAAGAGAGAGAAAAAATTAATCATTTAGTCTTTGTAGTTTTAACTTAGTTGTAACTCAGTCCCTCAATTTTGGCTCTCAACTTTGACTCGTTATAACTCAATCCCTAAAGTTTTAACTCGATTGTAAATCAATCCTTAAATTTTGTCCCTTGCAATTTAGTCTTTGAAGTTTTAACTTCTTGGTCCCTATATTTTAAAAAATAAAATTATAAAAATTAAAAATATTTTAAAATTTTAATATTTATAATATTTATAAGATTAAAAGGGTTTAAAAATTTAAAATATTAGGAACAAATTTTAAAATATTTTTAATTTTTATAATTTTATTTTTTAAAACATAGAGACTAATATTTAAGAAGTTCAATATTTAAGAAGTTGAAACTTCAGAGACTAAGTTACAAGAGACTAAGTTACAAGAGACAAAGTTAGAGACTGATTTATAACTGTGTCAAAATTTTAGAGCTTGAGTTGTAACGAGTTAAAGTTGAGAGATTAAGTTATAACTGAATTAAAACTATAAGGACTAAATGATAAATTTTTTAAAAAATTTTGCATTAAGCATGTCTCCAACCGACACAGCTGGCTCTTTCATTCCTCTCGAAATTTTATTTACAATTAAAAACAGAGCAAAGCTTCTCCAATCACAAAATGATCGCTTCCGTCAAGTCGAAGATATTAGTTAGATAGTTTTACGGTAGTGTCAAAAAAATTTGGTTTCAGAATTCATACTTCCACCTCAACTCCTCAATCCCTGCTTACAAATAACAATTGTAAAACCTTTATGCTTCGTGCAGAGAAAGTCTTCAACTGAGTAGTCATATATACGTTATTCAAATTCCGACTATGGTGCTATAGGTGCCATATACAGCAAAAACTGAACCAACGAACACTAAAATAAAATCCAAGGCCTTTTGCCACACATGGAGCGAAGAGCCAAATAATTTTAGGTGAAAAGTGGCTGGCAAGACAAATGAGATCAATGCACTTACTGTACTCCCTACAAGTGAGGCAAATACACCGAACGCTGGCACGCACAAGGCCATGACAGCCAACCCAGCCACCAAAATTGCACGGCTAGTGTAAGTCCCAAATTTTCCAAGTCCTGTTGAATCGTTATCGTCAGCATGTAAATACTTCCTAAACCATTTGAAGCTTTCAAGCTTTCCTTCTACGATCTCGTTAACTGGGTGTACCATGATAGGGAATGTGAACACCAGTCCTAAGCATAACCCTGCCTGTCACCAAATTAAAAGAAACGACGAATGATGAGCTAAATGCAAAATGAATGCAGGCAGGGCCTCTCTCCTACAGTTTCTAATGCTTAAAACTTTAGCTTTGTGCTGAGTGAAGCTTTTAAGTGTGAAAACGGCACAATAATGTTTTGCGACTACATAATGTCCTGTACACTTGTTACAATTAATTTAGGCTAAAGAGGCACCAAGGGGGCGACGTCAATAGGCAGATGTTAAGAGTTAAGAGTTACACTTATCAAACAGCATCATCTTACAATTATCTCATAATGCTATATAGGCTAAACTAGGGATTTCCCCATGATGCCATTTCAATTAGTTATATTGAAAATTGTTGGCACATGTCGTGTATTTTAGACTAGCTAGGGCATGTGCCACTTGTATTTAGTGTGGATCTAATTATGGGTTGAGTAATGGCTTAAGGGTCTCGACATTCTTGTCCAGAATATAGTCTAAATTCTGAAACACTATTTTAGCTAACAATTTAAGCAAAAACATACAAGCACGAAATAAGAGGCTACATTACCTTTACTGTACAGGATGTCCAAGTTCCAGGGAGGTTGAGGGTCACAATGTCTCTAGTTTCATCGCCATAAGCCATATAACCACAGAACCCAAACAGAACGTACAAAAACGTTATCCCACAAAAAGCCAGAGCCAGCAATCTGGGGAATTTAGCTCTATCCTGCATTGAACTCTCTAAAGCCAGAGTCATCGCAAACCCCTCAAAGCAAAAAACCGCCATGCCTCCTGCAAATGGCAACTTCTTAATGTCTGGTGTGATTGCCGTCCTTTGTTCGAATGAAGCTCTACCCGTCACTGCTTGTCCTATATCTTCCTTTACAACAATTCCCATTGCCAGAACATTGCAAACATCGGCAAAAATGCTATAAGGTGCTAAAGCAGATAATCTCCCTATCCATGACAGTCCAATTTCAATTGGCACTAACAAGAATACGTAGGACGTGAAAGTGAATCCATTGCCTTGGAATACAGACTGGAGGTTTTGGCCAATGAACAACATATATGCAACGGCTCCTCCGCATTGTGACAACAAAACAAGTGTTTCTGTTAGGTAGCGACCCGGGTTTCCTAAGATCCTATAACCCAAGTCCCCATACGTTTTTGCCTCCGCTAATGATCCATCTGATGCCAACTTCTCTCTGCACAGAACCTGTTTGAGAAATTATCAAAGAAAAAAAGTACTAAATAAAAGTTGCGCCCCCAGATATTAATTCAAGTTCTTATAATGACATGTTCCTTTTTCTTTCGGCAATGGAATCGTCCAATTTAGAATTCAAGTGGGTGAAAAAAAAAAATCTCATAAATTTATGTCCGTGCTCGACCATTTTTATAAGAAAAACAGGGAGACAGATGCAGGGTGAGATTACTGACAAGGAGAAGCATGCAATAGTAAGTGGTTAAGCCGGCAATAGCAACTCCGAGTGAGCCAGCAAGCCAGCCAGCGATTCGAAAAGCGAAGGGCAAGGCCAGTACGCCGGTACCGACGACGGAGACTATAATATTTCCCATGGTTAGAAGCTTTGAACCTGTTCTGGAAGGTAGAGATTCCAAAAGAGGGGTAGCCATGCTTCTCGAGTCTTGCTCCATTCTCTTCCCGATACCAATACTTTGCCAGATCAGTAGTGTTTGATATCCCTTTCCCACGTCTTACAAATCAAACAAAAATAGCCGTGTTAAGCTGCTTAATGCTTGTGAGTCGGTGGTAGGAGAGTTGATAATTGCGAGGTGATAAGATTCTATATCCCTCTTCTCGCAAAGCAGGACGTGTAGAATGAAGGCAGAGACAGCTCGACATCAGCAATTGCAACTGACGCGTGTGAGAACAGATGTTTTGACACAGATCAGAAGAAGATAGATGCTACTGTCAGTCCAGATATCTCAGCTTAAATAAAAGACCCATGCAAAATGATTCTCTCACGACAATCACTAGTTTTCTTCGTCCCATTTTGCCGCTCCCCATTGACCAGAAGCTTGGATTTCAATGCAAGGGGCTGACTAGATGACACCAAAACACGTCACGAATAAGAGAACTTGTGAGCTCGAAAATGCAGAGTTCTGGTACATGTGAACTCTCTTTTCCACTGAAAAAGGGAGGGTGTTTTTGTATAGTAAATTTCTCCTACAATAATAATTGAGCCAATGACTAGTTTAGATAATTTGACTAACTTAAACTAAGAAAGAATATTTGGCTAGGCAGGTGTCTTGTATTTGAAACATAGTGTGATAGCTTTTCCAGTGCATGGCATAAGATGAGTTTGTGATTTATAGGTTCTCTTGAAACATGTCTTCTTGAGACTTGAAAATTTAATCTGCAAGCTTTCTCATAACAACTTTGATTCGCGAGTTGGCACTTTGAATTGTGGAGCGGATGTTGGAGATATTGTGTAATAATACCTTGTGTTAGTTAAAATCACACGTTTGTTAGCATTAACTGGTCGGTGATCCTACAGCTCCAAATAAAGTTTCTCACTTTCTAGTTTATGAATCAAGAGTGTTTGAAGTTTTAGGGCGTGTTTAATTTTTATTTCCAAAAAAATTATTTTAAAAAATATAAAATTTATTTAAATAAGTGTTTTGAATGTAAATAATTTTAAAAAATGTCCTATTCTTCTAGAAGTAAAGAAATTAAAATTCTTAGATTTATTTTTGTTTTAACTTTTGCGTTTGAGATACTCTACCCTTAAAAAATCACTGTTGCTAACACCCATTGGTACTGTTTGTCGTTGCCTACCAAATACCAATGTCTATTTTTATCACTAACTATGGCCAGCGATCTTTGTCCATCTCCACCCATCACCACTATTGAAGATTATTGTTAGCCACCATCATTGATGTCATTATTTATTATTGCCATTAGCTAATCACTATTGACCATTACCAATTAACCATCATCACCATCATTATTAATCATTGTCAGTTACCACCAGTAATTATTATCATTCATCAATACCGACCACCAGTGTTGTTGACGACCTTAGCTGTTACCATCAACTAGTTGTCATCATTGATCTTCTGGTCTTATGGTATAAAATTAAAATCTGTTGATCATTTTCAATAATTAAACTGCGCTGTGGTTTATTGAAACTTTCAAAAATATATTCTTTAGAATTTAGTCAAAAGAAAATACTCTTCTCCTTAGGTGACTTGGGGGGCATGTGCTTTATTATTATAAAAGCATGTGTCATGTTTTTTATGATTCGAATTATTTCTACTAGCCTTGCTAATATTAATATAAAAAAAAATAAAATAAATAAAAGTGTGTAAAAAATACAAAAAAATCAATATTATGTTTTTTAATCTTTTAAAAGTAAGTTTAAAAATATATTTTAAATATTATTTAAAAGTTACGCCATACCTCATAAATGAATTTCCTCGAACACACCCCCAGGATTCCATGATCACCCTAAAGCCCTCATCCAAGTGATTGCATATTTGCAACAAGGCACCAGGCCATTGCGGCAAGCTTGTATGCAAGTAACAAATATCCTGATTATCATCACGCATTCTTCTTTTTTTGCCCCTCACCCGCCAAACTGAAGTCCTGCGCTGGACAAGAAAACCCCGCGCCCCCAACCCCCCCTCCGGCGAAGTATAAAGCGAACTTAATACTGTTCAATCATGACATCAGTGTGGGAATTTTTCCGCACCCGGACTGATTTCTCCCCCCTCCAGGGTTTCCTTAGTTAGGGTTGGGAAATTGACGGAAACGAAGAATGAAATTCGGAGAGGCATTTACAGAGTACTTACTGGGAGAGCGGGAGTGGATGTTGGACAAAAAATGCGTCCATATTGAATACAAGAGGCTAAAGAAAGTGCTCAAGAGCTGCCAGAGTTGTACACGTTTGCAAAGTTCATCCTGTTCTGAGTTTCTGGAAAACCAGTTATGTCAATGTCAAGCCTGCCCGCGTAAGTGCTTTCCTTCATGATCGTGTTTGATTTCAATAGCGCTATGAATCCAGGAAAAATGATATTCTGAAGACGTGGAATTCAAAATTGATTGGTGGTAATGATAGCACATGGAGATGATTATTTTCCATTTCAATGAAAGGTTATTTATTACTTCACGGTAATGTAATTGTTCTCTCAACAACTTGCAGTATGTGATCAAATGTTTTTCTCTGAATTGATAAAGGAAGCATCAGATATAGCAAAATATTTCAATTCAAGAGTCAGGCGTCTCCTTCATCTTCATGTTGCAACAGGAATTCAGAGATATGTAGTGCGCTTGCGTAAATGCTTTAAAAACGATCAGCAAGCCTTGGCACAAGAAGGGAGGGTTTTAATTGAGTACATTGCAATGAATGCTATTGCCTTGAGAAAAATACTTAAGAAATATGATAAAGTATGCAATAGATGAAACGGAAGCTAATTAATTTTATCAGTTTTCTTCGCATTTGTATCACTTGGTTCGAATGTTCTCACATTCACCACCCTCCTTTCATATTCTACTTTAGGTGCATAGCTCTGTAAAGGGGGAAAATTTCAAATCCAGGATGCATGCAGAACGCATTGAACTGTTGCACTCTCCTTGGCTAATTGAATTGGGTGCTTTTTATCTAAACTCTGATCAGTCAGATGCTGGGGAACTGAATGGAGTTTATGGTCACTTTTCATGTAACCTTAACGTGACTGAAGCTGCAATGACTTTGGTTCTTCCAGATTCTACGAGGCTTGAGTATGATCTGACTTGTGCAGTTTGCCTGGTAAGGTTCTGTTGAATTCTCAATTAAGAAAAAGAGACATTTTAAGTGTCACTGTCAGCCTATGTTACACAGGTGTTCATTGTGATGGTTATAGGATTTTGTTTTCAAACCATATGCATTGAAATGTGGTCATCTCTTTTGCAAGTCTTGTGCTTGCTCGGCTGCTTCTTTGATGATTTTCCAAGGTCTTAAAGCAGCAAGCCCGGAGTCAAAGTGTCCTATATGCAGAGAGGTATTTATTATGTATTAAAGAAGTACCATTGTTTCTCCTTTAAAAATGAGAAAAGAAAGTTTACCCAAAAAAAAAAAAAAAAAAAAACTCTTGTCTTTGTCTAGTTAAGCTATCAAAATTGAAAAGGAAAAAAGTTAGTGAAATATTATATGGAGAGATTTCACAAGTGCGATTGTGCAGCTTGTATTTGGTCCAAATGATATTTGAAGTGGAAAACCCGAATCTAGCTCCCATGTTCCTGTGGCATGTAGCCACATTTTGTAAGAGGCAGCCCCAGGGGTTGCTTCCAACAAAACCACGTTTTGGAGTGACATTCCATATAACTGGTTTCAGTGGAAACTTAAACTATGTGAATTGTTGTCACCAAGAATTGTAAACGTAATCAGTATACTTCCCCTCAATCACATTGCAGTTGTATGAACTATTTCTAGTAAATGCAGTGGCCTGAACTTTGGCAGAATTTTTTTTTAAAAATATTTTTTGGCTTCAAATATGCAGAAGTGGAAACACTTCAAGAGAATTCATGATAAGCATATTCCATTTGCAAAGCTTTATCTTGAAAATTTGTTATATATATATATATATATATTAATGTTCTATGGTTAAATAACAAGATCTACTTTGTATCTTTGACAAAAGAGCTAAGAAGGTGAAGCACCATTCTTGCATCAAATCACCACAGCGAGTATGGTTTGCATTTAACTCATTTTCTGGATGCGTTTTATAATCTGTATAGTTATAATTTTACAATAATATAATCGTTTGTCTTATCAGCTAATCAAAGTTATAAAATATGAAGTTCTTTTCTAATATTTAATTATTTATGATCTTCTATCCTTCTTCATGCAGGTTGGAGTGTATTCTAAGGCAGTGCACATGTTAGAGCTAGATCTTCTCTTAAAAACAAGGTAGTAACTGCTTGTGAATGGTCGCCAGCACGCTTTGTGTTTTCTGCAAATATTACCAACAAGTAGCTTTCAAAATTTTCTAGGTGTAAAGAATATTGGAAGGAGAGACTAGCTGATGAACGAGTTCTGATGTTGAAGCAATCTAAGGAGCACTGGAAGTCACAGTCGACCTATGCAATTTGATTGTAAGTTTTTTAACTGCGGCCACTATGACTGAACTACCGTGGTCCTTCAATGAGGCAGGGGTTATGGTTAGGTCTTAAGTCCTTAGCACGAAGAGGTAATATGGCTAGTGGGCGTTTTAACATGCCTCAATGATTAGAGTAAAATAAAGGTACAGGTTAAATTTTTTTCCCCCAAAACTCTTAACTTGGTCAAGTAGGATTTTTTGTTTACCTTGTGTGACAACGAGTATATCAGGAAAAATGAAAATTCAGTTAGTTTTTTAACTATTGATTCCTAATTTCAGTTGACTGATAAAGATTCTTGACAATCCTCACCTTCCCGTTGCCTCTTCAAGCTTTAGAATATCTCTCTTGCCTCTGAAAATGACGAGGACACTCTCCTTGCTGCCTAGAACCTGGGGAACATATAGCTTTTTTTTGGGGCGTGTAAAACACTGAATCGATACCTTGTTGAGTATTTCTGTTTGGTGCTATGTGATTTGCTTCAAATGGAGTGCCCTGCATGAATTGGGTGAAAATAAGGTAGCAGTAGCATGTTTTAACGACCATGATTCTGAAATCCTAGTGAAGGCAACCGTACCAAATACAAATGAGACTAATAATTATGGAAAGGTAACTTATGTAGTCTAGCAATCTGCTAACCTTTTCATGATCATGGCATGACAGTGACACGAGCCCGTGTTCATCGCAGAGCATGCGTAATTAAATATATTTAACAGTAGAGATTCATCTCCTTTGTCAATAAGGCGCCTTTCTTTAGACATGGTCAGCGGCTGCATCAATCCTATACCGAATTTCAGCTGCATTCACTGGACTATGATAGTGTAAGGGTCCCTTTCAGCTTTTATCCGCTAACACCGACAAACCCTTATGAATAAGAAAGAAAGGGGTAAACACTGTTAGCGGTGGTGCATGCAATTGTTTGTATATACTAGTAAACTGTATACTGCTACTATTCCTATTGCGACTCAAGACGCCCCGTTGTTTTGACTAATATTTTTGGAATTTGGAATGGCCGATCCATGGTCTGATCTGGGCATGATTCTAGCTAGGATTCTCGTTTGCCTGCATCGTGTTGTGTCCAAAAGACAACTTGCTCAGGTCAAAAAGGCGACCATGGGAATAGAATGAAGACAAACATGAATAGAATCGGGCAAGGTTCTCATTGTGGTTCTTGAAGGTAGAGATCCCCATAAGATATTCTCGAGGAGCGACGAGCTCTATATTGTGAGTTTGGATTTGGCTGTCCGCCTAGGTTGCTGTTAGCAATCTCATGTCGCTATCTCTATTGGCATATTCCCACAGCTGAGGCGGGAGATGGGGCGAGCGAAACGCACTGGCATCTAATTCGGATAAGTGGGACGCGCATGTTCTCCACTCAACTCTTTGATGCTTGATGCATATTTTATTTCGTGGCCAAAAAACGATTACATTTCAAAAAAAGAATTAAAGAAATATTGTGTTGAAGAATAGATTTATTAATAATTTTAAAAGCATTACACTTGAGTATGTTTTATTGTTTAATAAGAGATTTATGGTACGTGGGACATCTTTCGAAAGACAAAGCAATCATGTCTGCTATTGTTTACTATTTTTGGCAATTCATAACTTTTCTGACAATACTGAAGAAAAAAGTTTGCATGATTGTTTTTTAATTGCGAAAACAATACTTTCATAGTCACATGACAACCACTCAATTAAAAATTTTATCAATAAATTACACTAGCTCGAGGATTAATTAAATTATAATCTAATACTCTCTCAAAAATTACACTTAATTCTCTTAACACATTATATATTAAAAAATATTTACTTCTCGCGTCCATAAAATTGAATTTTCAAAATAATGCTGGATTAATATGCCATTTCAAACATGGAATAATGATTATGACGTTATTTAAATTTAAATACAAAATTAAGATGCCATGTGGATGGTTCTTAGATTATGTATAGAGTAGACTAAAAATCCCGTTTATTGAAAACCAACGAAAAGAGGTTTAAGTGTTTAACTAACCTCCAAAAGAAACAAACGAGGGAAATATTAACTATAAAGTTAACATCAGGTCGTGTAAGACAAATATACTGTAAGGTACCAAGAATTTGATAATAAGCAGTAGGATCTGGATGAGGACTTCCAATTGTAATAGCTAAACAAGTGCCAACAGCCTTAGGAATTGATTTTGCATTAGACATAAGCATGTGAGTTAGGATTAAGTCATCAACATACACTAATAGATAAAATGTAGTAGATTCATTTACTTTGACAAACAGATAAACATCGAACTTAACTTGGATAAAACCAAGATTATATAAAGAGTTTCTGATAGCTTTTGAAACCACACCCTTGATGCTTGTTTAAGCCCATAAATGGCCTTCTTAAGTCTACAAAGCAGAACTAGACCTAATGGATTTGAATTAGATTGTTCAAATCCAGGTGGTTGATGCATGAAAATTTCTTCACTTAAATCACCATTAAGAAAAGCATTGTTGAAATCAATATGCTATAGAGACCAACTTTAAGTTACTGCCATGGTGACTAAAATATGCACAATGGAAGGCTTTACTACAGGACAGAATGCGTCATTAAAGTTAACACCTACTTTTTAGGAAAAATCCTTAGCAACCAATCTACCTTTGCTTCTCGTAGTAAACCCATCAGCGTGAGTCTTAAGCTTGAAGATCCATTTACATCCAATGGCCTTGCGATTAGAAGGGAGAGGAATAAGATCCTAAGTATCTAATTTAACTAAAGCATTATACTCCTCTTCAGCAACAACTTTTCAATCAAAATTAGCTAATGCCTCCTCGATAATTTCATGATAGAAATGAATAGAAGAAGTAACAAGATTTACCTTTGGTTTGTGAATGCTAGCTTTAGTCCTCCTGGTGATTATAAGATGAGTATTTGAAAGCATGAATATTTCAGGTGGAAGGGAAAGAGAATTTTCAGAGGTGGTAGTAGTAGTAGTAGGTGAGGAAAGATGTGAGGGCAGAGTTGTAAAATTAGATAGAGATGGTGGAGGGGAGGTAAAAGGTAAGGAAGATGGGCAAGAAAGAACTTGAAGAGAAGAGACAGGTTCAGAAGAGGGTGATACAGAACATTGCTTGCCATTAAGTTGACTAGAACTAGAAAAAGCATTTTCATCAAACACCACATGCCGAGAGAGATACAGCTGCCTGTAGTAGGGTCTATGCACCTATACCCACGGTGTTGAGAGCTATAACTAAGAAATATGTAAGCAGCAAATGCGAAAGAATTATAAGAGGAAGTATGATTATAATCAGTGTTATAGTCATACCTATAGTAGTAGTGATCAGCAGTATGGCCAATTTTATTACAAATCTGACACATTAGATGAAGATTAGTGTGACTTCGACCACAAGCAGAACCAGTACGAGTAGGTGGTTGAGGGTGCGATGGACAATCACCATGATTAGACTAAAAGAAAGGTTCATATTTCATATGATAAACTTTATCAGACTCATCAGTTGTCAAACTAGCAAAGGCCTCAGTCATATTGATTTAAGTAGTCATTTGTTGAATAAATGCTTGCTACCTTGTCTTAGTATCAATAAGCATGGTATGAATTTCAGAGAGAGAGAGAGAGAATGCATCACAAGCACCATTAATAACGGCCATCACAGACTCATATTCAGCTGTGAGACCAAGAAGATAAGAGATGTGATCTAGTTCAGGCATACGATGACCAAGCATTGCTAGATGATCACACATGAACTTCACAGTAGCAAGATAGTCACACATCAATAACTCGCCATTGTAGAAAAAAGTTGAGCCAAACAAGACCATATATGAGTAGAGGTGCCATATTCAACTAGTTCAGGATGTTAAGTCAATATCCACTAGGCCTGTTAAGTTGTTAGTTCAATCCAGTAGCTGACGAGCCAACTAATTCCTTTGTAGATATTTCATGTCTAATTTAGTAATTTATCTTTCGGTTATTATTATCTATTTGTACTATTATATCATTCTTTTGTATTAGGGTTTCTTACCCTACCACTATATATAGAAATAAGAGCCTAGGGTATTGTGTGTCCTTTATCCTAATTTTCTATTCCTGTGTAAAACCTTTGTTGGTATCAGAGCAGCAGAAGGCTTGCTACTATGGTTGACGAGAGCTCCTAAATAAATCCAAAAACTCCTTCTCACTCTCATAACTCATTTATTTCTACTACTACCCTTCCCAAAAACTCCTCAGGTGGTTCAAATCCTCTCAACCAAGTATGTTCTATGAAACTCAACGAAACAAACTATATAATTTGGAGCACTCATGTTCTTCCCATTATCAAAAGACATAAGCTTAAAGGTTTCATCAATGGTACAGCTGTGTATCCTCCTCAGTCTGTGGTGGAGAATGATATTTCTAAGCCTAATCCAGATTTTAAAGATTGGGTAGCTGCTGATCAACTTTTGTTTGGTTGGCTACTTAATACAATGACTCTTGATATCTTATTTGAAATAACCACTGTTTCTACTTCTGCTGGTCTTTAGAAGGCTGCTCGTGCTATTGTTGGAACTCAAAACAAGGCGTGAGTTCTCATGTTGAAGTCTGAACTTCAACGAACTAGAAAAGGCTCTTCATCTATGCATGATTATCTTGCCAAGATGAAGTCACTATCCGAAAGTCTTGCATTAGCTGGGAGTCCAGTTCCTCACTCTGATTTTCTTCTTCAAGTTTTGGCTGGACTTGATAGTGAATACAACTCTGTGGTTGTTCAGCTTTCTAAGGAGGATGAGATTTCTTGGATTGATTTTCAATCTGAACTTCTCGCCTTTGAATCTCGGTTGGAACAGCTTACTCAGATTGCTCAACAAAATGTCACTACTCAATTTGCCAATCTTGCCTTTTAAGATACTTCTCATGGTAGATAACGTGGTAGCCGTAATGGTCGCAATGGTCGTGGCAGGGGGAGATCTGGTCGTGGAAGTGATAAAACACCTTGTGCCTTGTGTGATAAACCAGGTCACCATGTCAAAAACTATTATAAACAGTTTGACAGGTCATTTAAACCCCCTACCAACAACAAAAATAGCTTTGAAGCTGGAAATACTTCACACAACTCTATGTTTTATGCATCTCCAGAGGTTGTAAATGATGATTCATGGTATTTGGACAGTGGTGCAACAGCTCATGTGACTAATGATGCTAATAGACTTGATGATGTGGTCAAAACTGATCATAAGGTTAAGCTGTTAGTTGCTAATGGTCAAAATATGCCTGTTAAAAAATTGGTTCTTCTAAAATTCAAAATGTGCCCAATCAATATGTGGTTTTGAATAATGTTTTGTATGCTCCTACTGCCAAGAAGAATTTACTTAGCATACCTAAGCTTTCCGATGATAACCATGCTTCAGTGTCTCTTAACTCTCAAAATGCTCTTGTCAAGAAACAGGGGACAAACACAACACTACTTCAAGGTGTGAGAAGTAAAGGTGGACTTTACAGAGTTGATGCAAAGAAGGTTAGGTTGTAGAACAAACATTTTAGAGGCTCTCAAGTAGCTCTCTTGGTAGAACAAGTTGCAGACAACATTAGTAATACTACTAGTTCTAAATCTAGTTCTATTAGGAGGCTTTGGCATTGTAGGCTTGGTCATCCTAATGACAGAGTTTTGACTCAAGTTATTATTGCTTGTAATGTGAAGTTGAATGGTAATAGAGATCCTATATTCTGTGAATCTTGCAGATTTGGCAAATCCCACTCACTTCCATTTAAGGTCTCTACCTCTCGTGCTAGTCAGCCTCTTGAACTTATTCATACAGACTTATGGGGACCATCCCCCATTAAATCTTTAAATGGATATCACTATTATGTACTGTTTCTGGATGACTATAGCAGATTTAGTTGGATTTTTCCACTAAAAACTAAAAATGAAGCTCTATTCTTCTCAAGTTACAGAACAAGGTAATGTTTTGTCTGGTCTATATTAATGATATAATCATCACAGGAAATAATTCTCATATGCTATCAACATTTATCAGAGAATTAAATTCACCGTTTCCTCTCAAAGATCTGGGGAATCTTCATCACTTCCTTAGTATTAAAGCCTACAGAGATACTACTGGACTTTATTTAAAACAAGAAAAATACATTCTTGAGATTTTGAAAAGATTTAGGATGGAGAAATGCACCCTTGTGCCTACAACGATGGTGGTCAACAAAAATTTTTCAGTAAATGATAGTGTTCTTCTATCTTATCCATCACTTTATAGAAGAGCAATTGGTGCCTTACAATATCTAGTTAACACTAGACTATACATCATGTTTACAGTCAATAAATTGAGTCAATTTTTACATGCACTAACAGATAAACATTGGCAAGCAATCAAGAGATTGTTGTGTTATCTTAAGGGTACTACTGATCTAACTCTTCACATCAGACCAAGTGAGTACCTTGGATTGCAGGGATTCTCTGATGCTAACTGGGCAGTCTCCGTTGATGATCGTAAATCAATTGGTGGCTATTGTGTGTATTTTGGGAATTCTCTAATCAATTGGTCTAGAAAGAAGCAGCGAGTAGTGGCTAGATCGAGCACTG